GCATCGATGACAATGGGATTGTCTGGCCGATTCTCCTTGCTTGGATAGACTAGCTGAGGAAGTTGAGGTTGTCCTGACAGCGAGGCATTGCTCGACGGGTCTACTCTGAGTTTGACATACCGAGGACTTTTTCGAGTTTGTTTGGTATAGTCATTTCGAACAACGCAGTAGTATTCTCCAGCATGATGGGGCTGCACAACGGAAATCTGCATTCCGGTAGCTGTTGAAAGATAATTGGAGTCGACTTTGTCACTCAAGCAGCCATCGAAATCGGAACCGCTTTTGACAAAACAAATTTCGGCAGGCCCAGGAACAACGTCGGGTAAACCAGCGCATGGTAGGCGAGCTACTTGACCCTGTTCCACATGTACGTAATGATTAGTGGTTTGATCGAACTTCGTGATCCGAGCTCTTCGAAGCTTTATCGGATCAGAAACCAACGTGGTTGTGATCACTTGTCGATTAGAAAGTCGCACTTCCGAAACGACAGCAACACATTGGTAATCGCCCTCAGTTTGCTGTTTACCGCCAATAATCGTAAGCGATGGTCCATTGATAGCGTAATCCTTATCGAATCCGTTCAATGTCTTCACATTTTCGCCATCTTTAAGCCATTGTATGCTAACAAATTTGGCTTCACTCCATCCGGGACTCAAGTGGCACAACAAACTCGTGGGAAGCTTACGCAGTAGGTACGCGTGGTCGGTGTGAATGAGCAATGATGGCAAATCGAAGGTTTGTGAGCGAAATTCGCAAGAAATCGACCTCTTCAATGTTAAGACGGCTAGCAGCTGGAAAACCAATTGCATGGCGAACCCCTGCCGTCATTGCACTGCCATACTTGCAAAATTTGATAGTTAAACCTGAAATTAAGAATTATGGAAGTATGTCAATTCGTCCAAGTGCCTACAGTCTGTGTCAACGACGTGCTCCCTTCCGATTAGCTCGAGCGCAACGTCGGAGTCAGGGGCCGCGTACGCGGACGTGCTTGGGCGTTCAGGTAGGCGCCAGACTTAACCGGTTCTACCGGATCGTCCTGGTTTGGATCCATTCGGTATTGGTCAATTTAGTGATATGGCCAATAGCGAAGGAGTGAACCGAATGAACCGACTGAACCGGATAAGTCTGGCACCTACCTATGATTTGCCGCATCAAACGAATTTCTGTGCAATGCTCACACGCTGCGGATGCGTATAATCTGCTCCATGATGAAAGCGGTCGCCCAAATAGATT